CTCTGATGCATGATTTTTTATTATTAATTGTTTTGGCTTTTAACTAGCTGTCAGTAACTGCGAGTACTCTCAAATCGTACTTTCTTTTTAATTTGACCTGTTGATAATATTTGTAATGATCTTGTCTATATACCAGCTTTGATTATTTGGTATTACTACAAATTTTCACTTCTTCGTACTATGAACATCAATATTATTTCATTTCTCCTTTAATACTGTTCTTGCACCTGTACAGGAAGTTTTATCTAGCACTTATTGTATAGTTTTATTGTTGATATTCACCCCATATGTACCAAGTGTTAGATTAGTTTTATTGATATTAAAGAAATTTCTTGGTATTCCAAAACGGAAGATTTTATACACACAGAAGAAGAAGTAAACTTAACAACAAAATTATTTTCATTTACCTGTGTATAATATGACGCAGGTTTTTTCAAAAGTGATTATTTTCTTATTTTCTTTACTTTGTTTAAACCTGTTTATTTACTTTTGACCTTAATTATTTATCCCTTTATATTTTTATTAACTATGTATTTGCATTCAGGTGTCACAGATCAAATTTATTCGTTCATTGTGTGTTAATTTACGTTTTTTGATTGAGTTAAGCCTTCCAATTGATATTTTATAGTGTGTCTTTCTATGTTGTGATGTTATACTATTGTTTCAGAAAAGGGAGAAGGTTTGGTACCATTAAAATGTTTAATCCCGCTGCAAATGTTTGCACCTGTCCTAAGTCAGGAATCTGATATACAGTAGTTGTCGTCTGTTTATGTAGTTCATACGTGTTTTATATAGATTAGACCGTTGGTTTTCCCGTTTGAATGGTTTTACACTGGTAATTTTTGGGGCCCTTTATAGCTTGCTGTTCGGTGTGAGCCAATGCTCCGTGTTGAAGGCAGTACCTTGACCGATAATGGTTTACTTTTATAAATTGTTACTTGGATGGAGAGTTGTCTCATTGGCTCTCATACCACATCTTCCTATATCTATTGACAACGCCATGGCCAAAAATAAAAAGACAAACAGACAAATAATAGTACAGATGACACAACAAAGAAAACTAAAGACTTAGCAACACGAACCTCACCAAAAACTGGGGGTGATCTCAGGTGCTCCGGAAGGGTAAGCAGATCCTGCTGAATATAGCCTTAGTGAGGACAGTGTATAACTTGAAATTTTTTTCCATACACCTTCCAAATTTATTTGTTTTTATTTTATTATTAAAATATTAAGATAAGAAGGGGAATGAAATTACATTTAAAAGATGTGGGTCATGAATTTTAAGGTAAATAAATGGGGAATGTGTCCATGGGACACAGATGATGCCCCCGCTTGCATGTAACTTTATAAAGGAACATAACTCAAGAACTGTAAAAGTGACACTACCCAAATTTGTACTTGACCTGAGTTTTGTGGTAATAAGCATTGCTTATAAGTTTCATAACATTTAGATGGGGCAAAATTCAGATAGAGAACGGAAACGAATATTTCAGCAATTTTCCATTTGCAAAGGGGCATAACTCTAGAACGGTAAAAGTGATGCCACCAAAATTCAATCTTGATCTGTGTTTTGTAATAATAAGCATTGTTTATAAGTTTCATAACATTTGGTTGAGGCAACTTAAGTTAGAGAATGGAAACCAATTTTGGGACGTTCGGATGGACTTACGTACAGACGGACAAGGGGGCATAAAAAGTTATTTGGTCATGTTGGTCATGTTGAAAAAGGTAAAAATTACAATACAGTGTATGTCAGAAGCTTCCAAACCGAACTACAGATCCCCTTAACATAAAATTGTCCATATTTTGAGTTAAGGCTGTTAAATTTTCTATAATTTTCATATAATTTGTCCCAAAAGTAGTACACTACACTGAAGAAATTTTTTTGAGATGGAGCAGGTGTGATTTTTGTAATTTGTGTTTATTATCTAAAAGAAATGAACTGCAAAATAACTGTGTTCTCTGGCCAGACCAAATAACAAAAGGAAAAAAGTTTTGCTTATTGAATATTTTTTATTATCAAAAAATGAAAATCTTGTCACTCATAAAAAGGGAGATAATCTGTAAGCATAATTATGTTTTTTAATCTTACTTTTTCCACCTCTCTCAACATCTTCTCTGTTATCTAACATTGTCACAGAATAACATCTGTATGTCTGTTTAAATCCACCAAGACCTCCACCCAGTTCAGGCCCAAATATGTTACCTCCAAATCTACCAAACTAGAAAATAAAAAAATTATAAGAATTGTCTGTTGATAATGTACATGTAAATTTATGAGAACTTTATAACATTATCATACATTATAATATCACCATCTATCATACATGTATATGTATTATTGTCAAATTAATGAAAAGTAATTACCATATTACTCATGGTCTTGATTTTTTTACATTTTGCTGTGGTTTCATTTTCTGTTAGCCAAATTTTGATTCAGTTTCTCTCTGGATTTGATTGATATTTTTACATGCATTTCACTCTATCTGTCATGTCTGTCTACATACACCAATCTAGAGTTTTTTTTTATGAATGCAGCCCTCAAAGTAGGTTCAAAGACCAGGTTGCCTCTTGGCCACCAGATGTAAAATTTCATTGGCCAATTCAAAATTTTAGTGGAAAAGAAATAATTTTCAGGTCGCATAAGAAATTTGTTATGAAAGTCTAGTCAGTAGAGCTAATAAAGACTAGTAAAAAAAGCATATCAATAATTTTTCTATTATATAGAATAGTAGACATACATGACATAAAATAAGGTAGTCTTAGTTCAAAGCAAATATTGCTTTTAGTTAACCCTTGTATATCTTTTGTTCTGATCTTTTTTACTATACTAGTTAAATCAACATTGATTAAAGAAACACAATGACCATGATGACCAAACCATGACTAAGTTAACAAAAAAGTAAATATTCATTGAGGTTTGATAATAAATTTTAATAATGGAACAAGGCAACCACAGTGAGAATTCTAATTTGATTCTTGTTCATCCAATTCCTCAAAATCATCTGTAGTTGGCCAGCTTGAATAAGCCAATTTAAGCACTTTTCCCTCCTTTGAGAACCATACATCAGTGTCTTTATGTGGCTCATATTCATCAATATCTAGCCCTTCCCCACTAATCCTGATCAAATGTTCAAGAGTTCCAATTGGCCAGCTAAATCAGGAAGGCCCTGGCAAAATTTGCAGCTCATTTTATTTTCAGATTCATTATAGATCAACCAGGAGAACTCTTTTAGCCAGCTGTTTTGGAATTTTCTTATAAATTTTCCAGTACCACTTGAAGTTGTTGCCGCAATTTACGCTTAATCGTAACATTAGAAGATGTACTTCGCTCTTCAGAAGCTGGAGTTTCTATAGAGGGACTCTCCGCCCCTTCTTTTTGTTTCTTAGCTAGTGAAACATCATTGTTTTGGGTAGTTGTTTTGAAAAATCCGGGCAGCAACATCTGTTTGGCTGCCATGATGTATTGGCCCCGAAAACACTTCATCAGACGCTTGAATTCCCAGTTAAGTTAAGCACTTTAAAGACCCCGTTAAGATTAAAAATGCTTGAAATCATATTCAAGATTTAGCATACATTCAAGCGCTCGTATGACTGTGAATAAAACTTAATAAAATACGACTGGAGGCAGGTTGATTATCCTGAATTTTACGGTCGCCAGGTCCAAATAGTAGCAGTTGCCTAATGGCAACCAACAATGAAATTAAGGTCACCTGGAGGCTTTATAGGTCGCCCAGACGACTGTTTTAATACGCTTATTTGAGGGCTGGAATGAGTTTCACCGGTTGACCTGGGGTCAATCGGCATAAACGATGTCATCATACAATCAGTTCTTACTGTGACATAATAACAAGAATTGTGACATCTGGAAATTCAGGAAAGTGCACGAATCTGAAAGTCTTCTATTGTATCTGACATCATATCAAATTTTCTGTAACATTAAAAATTCTTTTGTATAGTTAGATTGACAAAATGTTGGAATCAATGTGTCTACTTTTTTCCTATTTTAATATGATTAAAGGTTTTTCTACAATACAGTGTATATTGATAATCAGGAAGTGAAGACATATGAAACAACAGTTAAATTTTGTAACCATAAAGAAAAACTCATGTACAACAATGTACAAAGGCATGATGATTACAAAATCACTGATGCGGTCTCAAAGAAAATCAGATTAATAGAAAGAAAGGGAAAATGTTTTAACAGGAAACAAATAAGTTGACTATCAATATTGTATTCGATAGTAAGAACTATCTAACGATACTTGAGTACTCGAGTACTTGTTGACATCCCATTATGGAGGCTAATTTCATCTGTCAAAAAAGATTTCAGTGATAAAAATTACCGTACTCTTGATGTGAATTGCTAAGACTTTGTAATGACAACTATATGACTCTTAACTAGTAAATAAAGTGTCACACCTGTGTGAACTGATCACAAACTTAAATATGTATGCCAACAACACAAGGAACAGTATACCTAAATCTCTTGCAGCTTCTGACACCATTTTATCAGAGATTTTGTAGGGTTTAATTACAGATGTTAAGTAAGATGTGCATATAGATTATTAGTGCTTAGAGTAAAACCACAGCACTTGACAATAATTTTAAATAAATCACTGGTTTAAATTATTTAGATTTATACTTAAATACATGAATCAACTGTCATTTCTGAACTGTCAACTTATGTATTTAATTTGATGTTTTAATTACCATTTCTGTATTGTTTTGTTTCCTGTGGATTTAACCGTGTAATATTCTATATTAAACAAAATGACTCAGTAGGAACTAAATCGAAAGTAAATAACCAGTGTGAATTATATTGTCATTAATCCTGAGTTTTTTCTCGTCTTTAAAAACGCAAAATTGATTCAGCTTTTGTGGCTAAGAATAGACTTTTCTTAACTATGTTATGATTGGCCAATTTGTACTTTCGGTTTGAAAATTCTACCAACGAAAGATATTGTTTCAAATGACAACAATTTGCCTTACTTCCGGTGTAAACCCCCGCCACAATCTAAAATGTGAAAAATTACTTTACTGTTGAAAATGTTTATAAAAGACCTAAGAAAGGGTTTTTATGACGAGATCTTACATCAGGTAGACAAGACACTAAATATTAAAACTCAATCATTCAAATTTAAATCGTTTTCTGTTGAAATACCTAGTAATGGCTGTCAAATCAGAAAAAAAATATTGCCCCCCCCCCCCCCCCCACGACAATATTTCATGACTTTGTATTAGTAAATTTTGTCCCCTTCAATGAAATAATGTCGAGTTGGAATAATTTCCATGTGGAATTTTGTCCATATGCAATCAATATTTCATAGATTATCCTCGATGATTGGAAGTTCGTTACCCTAACTTGAAACGGAAGAAAAAAATCACAACCTTGGAGCAAATATTATCAACTGTAGATGTAAATATTCTTTACTTATTTGTAAACAGTCTGATACATTTAATTGATGAATAGCTTCAAAAACATGGTCAATCTTTCTATGTTTCATGTTGTGACCCGATTCCGTAAAATAAGTAGACTGACTTGTAAGTTCGTGACCTTTGGCGGTGGCTTTTGCGCATGTGCAACAATATATAGGTCAGGCCTATTGTATTATGTATTTGAACATTACAGAATTAATTTGAGATCAAATAACAAATGAATATCTCGAGAGAGAAAAAAAAGAGAAATTGTGACATACTAACTTTTTATTCTCCCTACAAAGATTATTCTAATTTTTACAAGTGACTTTCAATGGTCAATTGGAAAGTCAAGAATTAAACACGTTAAAGATAACTATAATGATGTCACAATGTCATTAATGCATCAAATTATTTTTTCATGCAATTTGCATTCAATGGCATAGGATTAAATTACTTTTACGAGCCAATATTCGGCAGGTTTTGTTTTCATCAAAATATATCAAATCATTTTCTGATCTTAAAAAATCCGCTCACATACAGACTTTAAAAAATAATACTCTTGGCCTTAAAAAAGGGAATAAGAGGCCGAATAACCTAAAAATAGATGATGACTCATTGTTGAGATGTCAATAACATTGCTGAAAGGATTTTCCCAAGAATTCAAGGAAATTCTAGGAGAGGAATAAAACAGTAGTAGTGAAAATAGACGTTTAAACAAATAATATGCTAGAACATACACAACTTCTCTTTTTCAAGCCGATATTAGTGAAAATGCATTGAAAAATATTCGGTTAAGTTTTTTGAAGTAGCATGTTGCGGATGATAAATACTTTTGCATGACGTCACGAATAAAGTGGAAATCCCCAAATGTCACGAACTTGCAAGCATAACGAACTTGCAATCATCGACAATAATACTATTGTAATATTAATAAACTGTTATCACAGATATATGTCTCGCTTTTTTGTAATTTTGATTATGCAAATGTTGAAATTAAAATGGTAATACTTAACAATTTAGGCTAATATTCAAAGTCAATGAACCATGACTGAGGTACTTCTTCTTTCAGTTTCCGCACTCCATCATAATATTGATGACTGTGCGACATGGCTAAACCATCTCCTGCAAAGGAGATGCGCCAATGCTAATACAACTGCATACCAAATATCATTGACTTATTATAAGTTGTTCCCTTTAAACAAACATAAACACAAACATTAACTTGTAAACTATGTAATAGTTTCAAAGTCAATGAACCATAATTAGGGGTGGAGCTATCCCACAATGGTGGTAAGTCGTGCACTTAAGGATATTTTTTATTTTATTTTTCTGTAGACTTAGCTTTATTTTTTTATTACTGTGTGTTGTCAAGCTTGGTTACAGTCTTCATGCTTAACCACAAGTCCTACGGCATTGGCTTGTAAAATTGCTTTCAGGCTTGTAAAATTCTTCTCTATGGTCAGAATATCGATCTCTATATTGAACCAAAAATTTTTTTATGAAAAATATATGTATATTGTTTTTTTATTAACCTACTCTATATTCCTGAACAAAAATATGGCATGATTTTTGTTTATTTCCCAAAGTTTTTCTTTCAATTTGGATGGGGTTTTTTTTCGCGGGAAAATCGCGTAAGACGTAAGGTGCTTGCCATTTTGAAATTCTTAAAAAATACGATTTGCTTGGCCTGTTTGGTCTGCCATTAAGATTGATGACGCTTAATGGAATGTAAACAAAGCAATGGAGGCCAGAAGAGGGATTTTCTGAAGCTCTGGAATGTGTTTAGGCATTCGGAAGTCAGGTTTGAAACGGCCATTAGAAAATTGGCATTTTTGTACAATACTTTAGAATAACAATGAAAACATATCTTTAGAAATTTTTTTTTATCTAGAAGAGCAAAGAACAAATTCCGAACAAACCAACATGATGACCGATTATAGACTACGGTAGGATATATAATCTCCATGGAAACGATACAACAGTCAGAGCTCAGACATAAAAAGTCTTAAATCTGCTTTTGACTCATAGAGGTCTAAATTTGAAGGTTTCAAGAATTGTCTCCCTTTAATTTAAGACAAATTATGACTTCAATAAGTCAATTAGTGTTAAGCAAGAAATATTTGACCTGAATTAAAGAGTTGCAAATATTGACTCCTACAAGTCAATTAGTTACCAAAATTGGCCAACTTCAAGACCCATGCATATCTATAAAAAGGTGATGCATCTACATGAAATTATGACAACATTGAAAGACAATGCTTTGTCTTCTAAGGAAAAATATGCATGAGAGTCTAAAAAATTTGAGATAATGTTTATTTACTTTACAATGCAACCATCTGTAATCACACAAAATGAGGAAAATAATCTATGTTAAGTAAAAATGTGCAATTAGATAATTAAATATAGATAGCTCAGGTCATTGTGAACTCTCACACAGGTTTATGATCTCATAGGTGGTGCACTTTGGCCACTAATCAAAATTAAGTCTTTTCACAAACATAAATTGACCTAAACAAGTCTGTCATTTTCTGACTTAAATAAGTCTGAAAATGAAAGTACATTTTTATAATAAATACATTTTTGGACTTATGTAAGTCAAAAATAAAAATTGACTTGTTTATGTCTTAGCTCTGACTGTACAAATGCCAATAAATTTGCATACCAAATATCATTAACTTAACAGCAGTTCATCTTAAACTGATCTTATCACAAACTATTACATGTAAACATAAGCAAAAGTTTCAAAGTCAATAGGCAATGACTGAGGGGATGGGGCCAAATATTCTCCATTGAAATGAGATGTGCTAATGCTTATACAACTGAAAACCAATTAACATTGGCCTACCACTAATGGTTCCCCTTGAACTGACCTAATCACAAACTAATACATGTTAACTAAGCAAAATTTTCATAGTCAATAGACCATGACTAAGGGGGCTGAGCCAGGTAATCTCCATGGAAATGAGATATGCCAAAGCTTATACAACTGCATACCAAATATCATTGACCTACCACTAATGGTTCCTCATAAACTCACCTAATCACAAACTAATACATGTAAACTAAGCAAAAGTTACAAAGTCAATAGACCATGACTGAGGGGGCAGGGCCAAATAATATCCATGGAAATGAGATGTGCCAATGCTAATACAACTGTATACCAAATATCATTGACCTACCACTAATGGTTCCCCATAAACTGACCTAATCACAAACTAATACATGTAAAATAAGCAAAAGTTTGAAAGTATATGATTGACCTACAACTTGTGGTTCACCACAAACTAGACCTAATCACAAACTTATACATTGTTGACGCCGCCGCCGCAGTAAACAGCATACCTATGTCTCGCTTTTTGACTCCGTCATGCGAGACAAAAATCGTTTTCTGATGAAATACCTTACATGTAATGGCTGTCAATTCAGAAAAAAAACTGAATGTCCTATCAAATATTGCCCCCCCCCCCTCCTTGACATATGCAGACAATATTTCATAGATTAATACTAGTATAATACTAATAGTATGAAATTGTGTCTTGTTAAAGAGATGTTATCAAAGGTTATATATTATTTTATACTGAGACAATATTTCATAGATGGATTGTCATGATATTTGGTCTCATGAAGGGGAGGTTATTAACATTTAATATTTTGGATAATGATATCATTAAAGTGTTTTATTTGATTGATAATAACAAACAAACCTGCATAACTAATTTATGCAGCAATTTATGGTAATACACATACCTTTTATGAAAAATATTTTTTTTTAAATTCAAGAAACGCTCACAATTTCATGGCAGAGGATTTCTCAGGGAAGACATACATTCAATTAGATTCAGAAATATTTTCATGGACAGTATTTCACAATGAAATTTAAATATTGTCATGGACAGAATTTCACAGTCAAATATTGAATGGACATTATTTCAAAGTGAAATACTGTCCAGAAGGAGGTGACAAATTTTCATGGACAAGGACCCTATTTCATAATGAATATTGTCCTGGACAGTATTTCACTGTAAAATAGTGTACATGGACAGTATTTCATGGGGGACATTTTTTTTTATTATACTTCATGTTAAAATGCCATATTTTGATAGGCTAATACGAGGGTGTTAATTTACTCTATTACCATTCATGCAGACGCTTGATCAAGTGTGCGCTTTATTAAATACGACTCTATCCTATGGCAAATACTCTATTTTCCTTCACGGAGACGCTTGATCAAGTGTGCGCTTTATTAAATACGACTCTATCCTATGGCAAATACTCTATTACCCTTCACGGAGACGCTTGATCAAGTGTGCGCTTTATTAAATACGGATGGTTGTTATGTACAAGACGTCATAGTTTATTACTTTGAATTTGAAATTTAATCGACAGTAATGCAGGGCTCGACAATAACGCTTGTCCGATTGTCCGGTACCAGAGGAAAAAAAGGTCGGACAAGTAAAAGCTAGATCAAGGTTGTCCGACGGGACAAGTAAAATCATTTTGTAGAAAATAAATTAAATCCAACTTTGATGAACAAAGCATTGAGTAATAAGCAAAAAACAAGAAAAGATAAAAACAAATATTAATTTGACATGTTTACCATGTTTACTTGCAATCGATAATTTAAAACTGGTTCTTTGACAGATACTTTATAACAGATAAAACACGTAATATTCTCGGAA